AGTCTAGCAAAATAGTAAGTAGTGAATGAATGAAGAGTCAATTTTGGCGTGGTGGCTACTACCTATATAATCCCAGTACTAGGGGTGCTGAAGCAGGAAGATGGAGATTCAAAGTCGGCTTGGGCTGCAGAGTGTGTTCAAGACTGGCCTGTACTACATAGTGAAACCTTGTCTTAAAAAAACCAAACCAACTCCCAGTAGTAAGAAAGCTAAAAGTTTCCTGTGAGACAAAGAGATGTGTGACCTCTGAGCGTCACTTGCCCTGGGCCAGGAAGAATTTGATCTTGAGTGGAGGAGCTGGGAGGTTCCCAAGTTCTGTATCATTTGTTTGGTTTAAATCCCATCCATTCCAGGGCATGTTCTCTGCATCTACAATGAAGGTTTTCAGCAAGGAATAACCTCAATTGTTCAGACTTCTTCCTTCTGAGGTCAGAGGAGCTGTATCTTTGAAGGAAATCCTATGGGGGAGCCCAGTAAACAAAATTGTTAGCATGGAGTCCTCTTTTGGATGTAAGGGGCTGTAGTAGCCCTGAATGTTTAAGCCACAAGTAGTTATGTGTAAGTAGTGCCCAGAATTCTTTCCTGCAAATGACCAGAGGGTCTTGTTTGAAAGCCACTAGGGAGATGAGAAAGAATTTGCTTTGGCACAGAAGCTGGGCACAGTGGCCTGTGCCTGTAGTCTGAGCACTTGGGAGGCCGAGGCAGGAGTATCACCTAAACCCAGGGATTTCGGGCCAGCTTTCACAAAATAGTGAGGCCTCATTTCAAAATAACAACAACAAAGATCAAAGCAAACACAGGTAACAGGGCTGAGGGTGGTGGCACACTCCTGTAATCCCAGCACTCTTGGGAGGCTGAGTGAGGCAGGGGGATCCTTGCAAGTTAGATAGCAGGGATTGAACCCAGGGCTGAGCTACATTTCTACCCTTTTTACATTTTTTGTTTTGAGACAGTGTCTTGTTGAGTTGGCCAGAATGGGCTTGAATTTAGGATCCTCCTACCTAGCCTTCCATAGTGCTAGAATTACAGGTGTGATCCCCCATATCCCGTTTGTTGGAATTACTTTAAAAATTTGGTTCTTTGTTATTTATGTATTTTTAAACAATTTATTTTAGGTAAATTCACATGAGTCTTCAAAATGAACAATTGAATAGCATTTAGTACATTCACAGTGTTGTGTGACTTGTGTGTATGTAATGCCAAAACAATTCCATCTTTTTTTTTTTTTTTTGTCTTTTGAGACAGGATCTCACAATGCAGTTCAGGCTGGCCTTGAGTTCACTTTATACCCCAGACTGGTTGGAACTCATCAGTGATCCTCCTGCTTCAGCCTCCCAAATGCTGGGATTACAGGACTGGGCCATCTTCTTGCCTGGCTCAATTTCCATCTCTTGTTCTCCTTTTCACTTGAAAAAGGCCCTCCCTATACCCTATCTTTTATTTTACGCTTTATTTATACTTCGGATTTCTCATAAAAGTGAAATCATGGGATACTTAAACTTGTGTGTCTGATTTATTTCACTTGACATTGTGGTCTCAAGTAGGTCCATTTTCTTACAATGGACTCAAGCTTCTCTCTTGAGGCAGAGTACTTTTGCAGATGGCAAGGGGGACAGGAGTTGGAGGGAGCAAGGAGGGATAGGAAGGAAAGGAGACGAAAAAGAATTAAGATGTGTTATGTATATGTGCAGACCCGCCCCCCCCCAAGAGAGATGTACTAACAAAAAATAAGAAACATATTTCTGTCAATCCAAAATAAAAGACACCATCCATTTTAAACAGTTTTTTCCTATGTCCCCCTTCCCCAGACCTTAGCAACCAATTTTTCTGTGGACAGTCTACTTTGGGTATTTTGCTTTGTGTTTTTTTGGTCTTTTTCCTTTTTATTGGTACCGGGGATCGAACTCACAAACTCACGACTGCCACAGGCAGTCGCTTATGCCGTTGAGCTAAATCCCCAGCCCCTTTGCTTTGTTTTTTACGACAAGGTCTTTATAGTTCAGACTGGCCTCCCTGAACTCACTGTGGTGATCCTCTTGCTTTGGCTTTAGTCCTCCTGCCTGGGCCTTGGCCTCGAATGCTGTGATTGCAGGTGTGTGTACCACTCCAGGCGCTCTGGGTCGGTTGGTCTTTCTTTCTTTCTTGTGTTTTTTGTTTTTTTGAGACAGGGTCTTACTCTGTAATTTAGGCTGTCCCTGAACTCACTGTGTAGCCCAGGCTGGCCTCGAATTTGGAGCAATTCTGCCTCAGCCTCCCAAGCGCTGGCATTGCAGGGTGGACCACCATACCTGTTTTGCTCTGAGTGTTTCTGAAAACAGATTTATATATGTGACCTTTTGTTTCTGGCTTCTGTTACAACATAAATGATTCAAGTTCAACCATTTTGTAAAAGCACATATCAGTACTTCATTCCTTTTTTGTGGCTGAATAATACTGCAGTGTGGATAACACCACATTTAGATCATCTCTGTTCATTTGTTGATGGGTATTTTGGCTGTTGTGAATGGTGCTGTATGAAATATATGTTTCCCTGTACTTGAGTTATTTGAGTGTTTGCTTTCAGTTCATTCATTCATTCATTCATTCATTCTTTTTTTTTTTTTTTTTTTTTTTTAATTTTGGTACCCGGGGATCAAACAAGACCTCATGCTTTAGGGGCTGGGGATTTAGCTCAGCGGCATAAGCGCCTGCCTTGCAAGCAGGCAGTCATGAGTTCGATCCCTGGTACTAAAAAAAAAAAAAAAAAAAGACCTCATGCTTCTCAGAGAGGCACTTATGCTGCTGAGTCAAATTCCTGGCAACTGCTTTCAGTTCTTATAAGTACATCCCTAGAAGTGGAAGTACAGGTCCTATAAGTAATTCTGTGTTTAACTTTTTGTTTTGTTTGAGACAGGGTCTTACTATGCAGTTCAAGCTGACCTTGAACTCACTTTGTAGTCCAGGCTGGCTTGGACTTCACAGTGATCCTCCTGTGTCAGCCTCCTAAATGCTGGGGATTATAGGTGAGTGCCATCACGCTTTGCCAAGTGATAGCTTTTGATTGGTATTTATAACATCACCTCCCATTTCACATGTTTTGGACCTCAAGTATTAATTTTACGGGAAACAGATACATTTAGGATTTGAAAGCACATTTCATCATATGAATGATGGATTTTAAAATAACTCATTAATTATATAAGTTAATGGAGTTCGTTGTGACATTTCAAAAAATGTGTATGTTGTGTTTTGACTGTAGCCATCCTCCCTTAGCCTTTCTTGCCCCCTGGATGGTGTTTGATGTTGTCATAGTGACAGATACCTGTTAATTGAGGATACTATTTTAAGCCACTGTGCCAATAGGCTGTGCTGGGCAGTAAGAGAGGAAAGAGAAAGAGAAGTCAAGATCCCCTCTGTTAAACTGTTTATGTTGTAGTTTTTGGAAGCTATTGTTAAGATTTGTGGATGCTCACTAAGTTATGCAGTGGGCTTTGAAAAAAACCCAGGAGCTTGTAAAAGTAAGACTGCTAAAAATAACTGAGCAAGTAAAACTCAGGATGGAAAAAGAGCAAACTCTATTATTAATCTTTTTTTTTCCCTGCTGTTTTTGGTGCATCTATAATCTCATGACTCAAGTGTTATGACATTGATTTTGAAATAACACACAGCTTTAGTAAAAGCTTAGAGGAGGACTCACATAATACTTACAATTCAGGATATTTTGACTCTTCTAGCGCTGACATGAATATTTCTGAATAGTGTTGATATTTATATAATACCAGTGGAGCTAAAAGCTTAGTGTTGGACTGTGCCTTTCTCTAGATCTGTTTAGAATAGTTTGTAATGAATGATGTAAATAGTGTTATAAGACTATTTGATACAACCATATAATTTGCTGATTTTTTTTTGTAGCTAAAAATAAAGTGCTTCAACAACCTTAGAAGATAGAATAATTTAATTTGATTTAGCATGAATTCCCTGAATTAATATGGAGTGATTTGCAACATTTTAATAGACTTTTAGCTCAACTTTCAATTTTTATAGAAAAAAATGAAAAGAGAATAATGATTTTAGTTTTAGCTTGTGATTGAATGTCCTATCTACATATGAAACAAGTCCCAGTGCTCTGAGAAAAGACAAGTGGTGTGGATAATTCTGAGTCAGGAAAAAAAATCATTTCTGTTTGTCTTTTGAATGAATTATGCATTTTTTTCCTGTAGATTTGTCTTTCTAGTTAGATACTGCTTAGGCTAGTATGAAATTGGTTTCCAATCTATTCTCTTAGCTTACACCAATTTTAGTGGGACCAGTGGGATGTCAGAAACAAATCAGCATACGATTAAAAAATTTGCAGTGGATAATATACAAAGTGGATAATATACATGTGTTAAGTTCAGAATTGGCTACAGATAAGAGACTTCTGATTTTGTTCCTCTCCTAGCTGTGTATTTTTTTTTTTTTAAACACTCTGATTCTGTTCCTAGCAAAGAGCTGCTGAGTTACATCTGCTTCTGCCTAATTAACTCTGTTGGTTGGTGTCAGATGAGAGCTAATTTTGAGATTAAATTGAGGAGTAGGGTGTGTGCTGGTGGGTGGGGGAAGGGGAGGGAAGAAGCATCTAAGATGGCTTAGAAGTAGTTTTGTATAATATCAAAATAAAGTTACTCACAGTCACTTTTAAATTTATTTTCTGCTTCTGAAGTAAAAAATTATCACTATACCCTAAAACGTGAACTGTGTCAGTATACATTTACCATTGGTGGAAACTGGTACATATTTATCCTTTAGGTGAGGCTGTTGGTTATATCTGTAATTCAGTCAGTTCTTAGGTGCCAGGTGGTTTTGGGACAGATAATGAATGCTGCGTGAGCAAATTAATGCTGACTTTAAGACAACTTTTTATCCCCTGCTCCCCATGTTTGCCTGGCTATTTTGAGTAATAGTGGAATTTTTCTTATAGTGGCATTCTTTCTTAGGCATCTTTTCACCAGCCTGATTTTTAAAATTAGGAGTACATATACTTGCTTCAGCGGCACATATATTTAAATTGGAATATGCAGAGAAGATTAGCATTGCCTTTGAGCAAGGATGACGTGCACATTTTTGACACTTTCGTGTTTTTATGCTGATGATATGTGAAAAAATAAAATGTACAGGACAGGTCTGGCCTAAAGTGAAATTGAGCCCGAGGCAGGAAATTCTCAAATTCAAGCCCAGCCTAGGCAATTTAGGGATACCCTATCTCAAAATACAAAATACAAAAGGATGGGAAATTAGCTCAGAACAAAGACCCTGGGTTCAATTGCTAGTACAATGAAAAAAAAGTGACATATTTCTTTGGGTAGTTTGCTTGGGACTTTATTTACTGTCCTGAATTCTGTGTTCGTAAATATACTTTAATGGTTTGGAAGAAAATGTTGCCAACTGTAGTGACTGATGAACACACAGCAGCTGTTTGTATTAGTTGCGCAGTGTTGGTTGTGGAGCTGCGTTTGTTTATAATAGTTGGAAAGCTCTGTAGATGGTTGCCGAATTAGAGTTGTCCCTATGCCCAAGTAAATATTTATTCTTTTTCTTTTGACAGACTTGCCTGAAGACCTGGACAATCTTCGTTTTTGTCACGGACTGTTAAAAACATTTGGAGTTCCAATTCTGGTATTTTCCCTTCTTTTATTACATTTTTAAGATATAAAATGTCAGTCTTATTGAAATGTGTTGGTAATGGATATGAGTGATTATTTTGATTGTGGACGTAGACTGTGGTAAAAGCTTGTCATAAAGGTGCCTTTTGGGTATTTATTAGTTGTGAAATGTGTTTTGTTTTAATGTATGTCCTTTCGCTTGTGTAACCAAAGAGTCTGTAGGCAACTGCAATATTATTGGCCACTTTCCTGTGACCTCTTCTCTTGCTTCCCGAAGTTATATATTGTGCAGTCAAATTAAATTAGTTGTGATTCATTCTGAATAAATGATGAAGGATGAAAGAATTACTTGGATACAGTAAAATGCCTTCTAATGAACTTGTGACAAACCATTGCACTTTGGAGAGATCAGTTTCCTGTTCTGAACTTACTGACACAGAATGATTCCTATGCTCTATTCTGACAGTGGTTGTTCGGCAAAAGCCAGCAACTTCATTCCTAAACACACTGTATTCCAAGCCTAACATATTTGTCAGTGATCTATGTGATGACACAAAAGGGAGTACTTATTAGATTTGCAGATGACCTTGATGACAGAGTCAAGATTCAAAACAGTCTTTAGCAGGTTGGAAGATAGACTCAAGCCAACAAGATGAAATTGAACTGTAATAAACTTTAGATCTCAGCATTTAAATTTGTGCAAGAGAAGGATGGGAAGATTGAGTTTGACAGCATTTTTGAAAATAGATCTGGGCATTGGTTGGACTATGTGGTAAGCATAGCTGTTGTGGCAGGGCTGGTAAGAACATTCCTGCAATTTGGGGTTGCATTTATAATTGAATAAGGCTTGGACTGCTGGATTTTAGGATAAGCATTAGAGTAGTGAGCAACCCAGCTAAGTGCCCCATGCTGGGGGAATGTGACATAGAAGAGTCAAGTCGGGTATCAGTGGTTTAGTAAGCTGGGGCTGCTGGGGGAGAGGGATTTGGGTGCTGTTTATTTTTGAGGGAGGCTCTCTGTGTAGCATATACTGTCCTTGAACTCACCAGGTAGCCCAGGCAGACCTTGAACGCACTATCCTGTCTCAACTTTACAGTGCTGGGATTTTTTTAGGAGGAGGTACCTGAAATCGAACAAAGCACCTCAGGCTTGCCAGTCAGGTGTTGTACTGCTGAGTTGTGTACCTGGCCCTTGGGATATTTTTACAGTGCTGGCCTTATAGTCATGTTTTACCACACACAGCTGTTAGTGGTTTTGTTTGTTGGTTTGTTTTTTGTTTTTGAGATAGGGTCTCATTGTGTGGTTCAGGCTGGCCTTGAACTCATGTGATGCTGCTCCTGCCTCAGCCTCTTGAGATTACAGGTGTGTGTGCCACCATGTCCAGTTTATAGATGAAAAATACTTGTTTTCAAATATTTGAAAGCCTGTCATATCTAGCCAAAGTTTGTTTTTTTTTAAACAGGGGATTGAACTGGTGACCTCACACTTGCTAGGCAGGTGCTTGTGCCGCTGAGCTAAATCCTCAGCCCATACACATTGTATTTAGTAGAAGTGCTGGTTAGCTACTCCCCACCCTATGTTAGATACCATGTTTACTTCATCCTTTCAGCAGTTCTGGAAGACATGTACATAGTAGTCTTCCTGTATCAGTGGCTTCCCTTTCCATAGTTTGAGTTACTAGTGGTCAGCTTTGGGCCAGAAATATTAAGTGGAAAATTCCAGTAATAAAGAGTTCACACACACTTGTTTATTTAGTAATTTAGTTAATTAATTAGTTAGTTTAGCATCAGGGATTGAACTCAGAACCTCCTGCTTGCCAGGCAGGTGCTGTGCACTGAACTACATCCTCAGCATTTTTTTTTTTTTTTTTGTACTGGGAATTGAACCTAGGGCCTTTGCATTGAGCTCAATTCTGCTCTTAACTTCATTAAGTTGCTAAGTTACCCATGCTGCGTTCAGACTTGCAACCCCCTGCTTCAGTCTTCCAGACTACTGATAATTAAAGGGAGTTCATAAATTTTAAATAGTCTTTATTACAGTTTATTGTTATAATTGTTGTTTTATTATGAACTACCATGTTGTTAAACTCTTCCAGTACCCAATTTGCAAAACTAAAGAGAACAGTACAGAACTAAAGAGTTGCAGAACTAAAGAGAACAGTACAAAAGGGTTCAAGATTCCCCATAGGTTTAGGTGTGCCCTGGGGTTGGCGTGCATCCCCAGTAGATGGGTGCTCCAGCACTAGCATTGGCTGCGGGCAGAGTGAAGGAGACTGATTCTTGCAAGTCTCCTTACCAGCCGTCTTGGAGCTGGGGTCAGAGCTCTGCTGTTTCTGCATAGGAAGAGTCGCCTGGAGCGGGCAGGCTTATGCTGGACGAGGGTTCTGAAATGCAGCCTTAGAGCTTTAAGGTTGCCACAGGCAGTTACCTCTGGTGACTTCCATCTTCCTCTGAGCCTGCTTACCTCTAGAATTGTGCTGAAGAGTAAATGACAAGCAAGCACACTATAAAAGTAAGGCAGTGGATGTCATCCCTGGAGAACAAGATTGGAGTGCAGATGTGTGCAGCTCTGAGGCCAGGGCCGTTTCTCCTGGTGTGTAGGCCTTTCGGCGAGCTCCCTGTGGTCTGCAGGAGTAGATGGTAGGGACCTGGACTCAGCTGTGAGTGAACTCTCACTAGGACTGAGATAGCCAGCATGCTTCTTACTGAAAGGGTGGCATAACGTTTCTATATTCATTTCAGTTCTCATGCCTGGAGGTCAGGGGGTGTCACACAGACCCTGTCCATAAGGATAAGAGGATCCAATTCCTTAGAAGGGTTTAGGTCAGGACTGGGGGCGTAGCTCGCTGGTAGTTTTTGCCTCGCCTGTGAGGTCCTGACTTTGACACCCAGCACTGGAAAAAGGAAAAATGACCAGGCCGGAAATTTTGTAGTATGTGTGAGACTTGCAGAATAACAATACTTAGCTGAAGAAAGCAGGATTGTTGCTTTTTAAAAGTTTTTTATTATTATTACCTTTTCTTTTTTAGATAGGGTGTTGCTATGTAGTTCAGGCTAGGTTTGAACTCATTTTTCAACCCAGGCTACCCTTGAATTTGTGGTGATCTACCTGCCTCAGTCTCCGCAGGCTGGGATTACAAGTGAGTGCCACCACACCTGGCTGCTTTTTTTTTTTTTCTTTTTATCGGTACCGGGGATTGAACTCACGACCGCCTGCTTGCAAGGCAGGTGCTTATGCCACTGAGCTAAATCCCCAGCCCCGACCTGGCTGCTTTTTAAAATTCTTTTTTCGTTTAACATTTTGTTTTTATTTTTAAGATAGGGTCATGCTACATAGTTCAGACTGGCCTTGAACTCACTACTATGTAGCCTAGATTGACCTTAAACTCGTGGTGATCCTCTTGCCTTGGCCTCCCAAGTGCTAGAATTATAGGTGGCATGTATGACCATGCCTGGCCTCCATCCAATTTTTGTATCATAATTTATTTTTAATAATAAATTTTTTTATTATTTTGAAACAGAGTCTTAAGTGTAAAGCCAGCCTTGAATTCAGTGTGTAGGCAGAGCTGACCTTCAACTCGTGACCCTTCTTCGTCAGCTGCCCTGGTGCTGGGGGCTTATAGGCCTGTGTCCTCACATTGGGTTTCTGATGGTGTTTCATGTCCGTGAAACTTACATATGATAGTCCACTGACAGTTTATTAATTTCAGTAGACAATCCATTAAGTATATAATTTAGATGAGATCTCTTGCATGCTCTGTAAATGTCTTCATGTAAATAAGTGAAAAATCCTTGAAAAAAATTCTTTCTCAGACTGTGACCCAAATTTCTGGATAGATAATAGTCGCTGTGGCTGTGTTATACAATACTTGCTGTCATTACTTGTATGGTCATTTTGCATCTGAAAAAGTAATACCAAGGAATGTTTATTTTTAGACATTTCATCATTAAGAGTGTTTTCTCCTTTTTATCCTTTAAGGTCTTGGTTTCCTAGTTAAAGATGTTCTTCACTTGAATGCAGTACTCTCTCCACTGCCTGTTTGTCCTCTTTTGAATCTCTGAAGGATGGATTTTTTAAGATGTTGCTTGGCATGGTCTGGAATACTCTGCCCATTAGTTGAGTTGTAAACGACTTTCAAATGCTCAAGTCCTGTTAAATACAAGGAGAACCTCTATGGGTAACTTTTGTGTGGAAGAAGTCATTTGTCAACCATGGTAAAACTTGCAAACCCACTTTATACAGAGTGGATTCTTGAAGCTATACAGAAAATCAAAAAGCAAAAGCAAAGGCCCTCAGAAGAGCGAATCTGCCATGCGGTCAGCGCCTCCCATGGGTTGGATAAGAAGACGGTCTCTGAGCAGCTGGAGCTCAGCGTCCAGGATGGCTCCGTGCTCAAGGTCACCAACAAAGGCCTTGCCTCCTACAAGGACCCGGACAACCCGGGGCGCTTCTCAGCGGTCAAGCCGGGCACTTTTCCTAAGTCATCCAAGGGGTCGAGAGGATCATGTAATGATCTGCGTAATGTGGATTGGAATAAACTTTTAAGAAGAGCAATTGAAGGGCTCGAGGAGCCAAATGGCTCCTCCTTGAAGAACATCGAGAAGTATCTCAGAAGCCAGAGCGATCTCTCGAGCACTACCACCAACCCGGCCTTTCAGCAGCGCCTGCGCCTGGGCGCCAAGCGCGCCGTGAACAACGGGAGGCTGCTGAAGGACGGGCCGCAGTACAGGGTCAACTATGGGGGTTCAGACGGCAAGGCGGCGCCCGAGTGCCCCAGCGCCTTCCCGTCCTCGCTCCCGCCGGTCAGCCTCCTCCCCCACGAGAAGGACCAGGTAAGTGCGGAGGGGCCTGCTGCGCTTCCGCGCGCGGCTCTTCTGACTTACCCACTTTCGGGTTCTTGTGGGCCAAAGATCTGGGTAAATTTTGATAAAAATAAAGTACAGGGCCTCAAAGCAGGCTTCTGTGTTTGAAGACGCGTACATTGTTTTACAGTGTATTGAGAGCTGCCTGACTCCTTGGCTGGGAGTTAGCAGTGATGACCCTCATTGCTGACGGGCGATGCCTGAGAGGACCACCACGGCTGGGGCTTGTATTTCAGAAACCTAAGAAAGGCCGTTATATTTTTTCCTTTCATTATTTTCAGAGAGGAACCTCCAGACGTGTTATTTTATGTTATTTTTTTAAAATTGACTTTTAATCGTTAGGAGTCGTCACTGGTGAAGTATATCCCAAGTACAGCTTTTGTGGAAGGGGTAAAAGAGACAGGGTCTCACTATATTGCCCAGGCTGGAGTGCAGTTGCTGTTCACAGGCGCGATCCCACTACTGATCAGCATGGGAGTTTGGACTGCTCCGTTTAGGACTTGCGCCCGGTTCACCCCTCCTTAGGCAACCTGGTGGTCTCGTGCTCCCGAGTGGTCACCATATTGATGCGGAACTTAGTGGGGACACCCGATCAGCATAGCCCACTGCAGCCCAGAACTGCTGGACTCAAGCGATCCTCCCACCTCATCTCCCAAGCAGCTGGGGAATACAGGTGCCCCACCATGCTCGGCTACATGTGTCATTGTATTGTATTTTTTTAGACGTGTTATTTTAATATGGAAATTGTTTTAATATATGCCCTGAATTCCTCTCATTTCCATTTGGTATCATTGATCGATCAGTTCTCACTAGGTGAAAGTTTACTTTACTTTGTGCCCTGTAGTATCTTTCATTATACTGTTGGGTTTTAGGTTATTTCTGTAGCATTAAGAGATAAATGACAGAATTACTCTTCTAAATCTGCTGTACTCTTGAGTCTTTGGTTGTGTAGCGTTTTTTTCTTTTGTCTCACAGCCACCAGCAGTGAGTTGTTCATAATTCAGTCCTTCCAGCTTTGGGCTGTGTCCTTCAGGCAATGTGCACAGTGATACCAGTTAATTTATCATCTTAGCTACTGTTGTAGAAAAAGTGCTTCTGTCATCCAGTGACAGTTTTAGAAAGGATTGAACACAAGTGTTAGCAAAAGCTGTGCTTCTTTGGAAACCATGCACCCTGAGTTGGGCTCTGTTTTGGTTGTCCGAGCTTCTGGGAGAAAGACCTGCTCTAGATACCAGTTAGGGTGAGGTGGCTTGCCTCTGCACAGACTCACCTAAAGCTGTATTTGTATCTCAGTGTTTAACAACATTTGTTATACAATCTGTTGATGATTGTTGTGTTTGTGTAATGAGTGCCCAGTTCCTTGTGAGAGAATGTGAGCATAAAGAAATAGGTAAAGCTGTGAAATTCTCTTAGTAACATTTATTAAAAAAAAAAAAAAAAAAAAAAAAATATATATATATATATCCTAATCCTGGTGTCTGACACAGCCATGTTAAGCATCATTGTTTTTCTTTAAATAATTTCACAAAAGTTTGTACTCCAAGGAAACATAGAGCCATTTCTTGATAAGAATGGGTCTTTGTTTTTAAATATATTATCCTAAGGTATGCCAGTGCTTTATAATTATCCAGTATGTGGACTCATCGAAGCCCTTCAACCAAGTTAGTGTTTTTTTTTCCTTTTTTCTTTTTGAGACAGGGTCTCACTATGCAGTTCAGGCTGGCCTTCAGCTCACTTTGTAGCCAGGCTGGTCTGGAACTCACATGGATCCTCCTGCCTCAGCCTCCCAAGTGCTGGGATTACAGGCGTGAGCCACCACGCCCTGCTCTAATTAGTGTTATGTTTTGATGATTTTTTTTTTGTCTTTTTTCTTTTTATCGGTACCAGGGATCGAACTCACAACTGCCTGCTTGCAAGGCAGGTGCTTATGCCGCTAAGCTAAATCCCCAGCCCCTTGTTTTGATGATTTTATGATACTAAGAATATTTTCACTTGTGATAGAAAGTCACTGTGAATTTTCCATAGTGCCCTTCCTATCCTCTCTACCCTTGCCTGTCACTTCTTGCCAATCTTACCATATTTTTTTCAGGCAGCGTCTGTACAGACTATTTTTAGTCTGAAGGAAAATTCATGTCTGAAGTGTCTAGGGTTGAGAACAGAGTAATTTACTGCTTAGCATGCAATTGCAACTGCTCTTTTTATGATGCTGATCTTTACTGTGTCCAGTTAGCACCATCATTTAATGAGAGAAGCTGAGAAAATGCCTGCTAGAAGTTTTACCGTATGTAGTTTTGAGATTAGTTATACTGAGTAATCATAATTGTTTAAAAAGAACAAGTAAAAATAAAAGTCTCTTCAAGCCAATTTGGCAACCTGCTTTTATTGTACATACAGCATTTTTACCTTGAAAAACTTGATTAAACTACAGCATAACATATTGCCATCTGAGATTAAAAGTGGTAATTTTGGGAGGCTAAGGTAGAAGGGTCACAAGTTCAAGACCAGCCTAGGTTGTGTGGTGAGATTTTGTGTCAAAACAAAACCAAACAAAACAAGTAAGTGGTTTATAAAACCATGGACATCCACTAAGTAAATGTAATAGAAATTCCTAACCTGGAATCTGTGAACGAACCTGGGTAGTGGCCCATAAATCCCCTGAAAGTGAATGTGAAGGTCAGGTCAGTGCCTCTGTGTTTTTAGGTCAAGATTTATAGCTTTATCAGATTATTAAAAACGATCTAGAATCGAGTAGGCAATGTGAACTTTTTATTTTTTGGCAGTAGTGGAGATTGAACCCAGAAAGTACTATTTCCCTAGCACTCATTTCCACCTTTTCCTTATTTTGGGATACTGGGGATTGAACCCAGGGCCTTTACACAGAAATATCCTTAGTCTTTTTAGTTTTCATTTTGAGACAGTCTTGATAAATTGCCCAGGTCAGGCTTGAACTTTCGATCTTTTTGCCTTAGCTTCTCAAAGTGTTAGGATTTCAGATGTGTGCCACCATGCCCAGCTGCTGTTTTGTTTATTTGTTTTTATTTGTTTCAGAGAGGTCTCATTATGTAGTTCAGGCTGGCCTTGAATTTACTATGTAGTCCAGACTGGCCTTGAACTCCAGCTGTCGTCCTGTTTCAGTGTCCTGAGTGCTGGGATTATAGGCATGTACCATGCCTGTTTTTTCTTTTTCCCTTTTTTTTTTTTTCTTTTAATATTTATTTATTTATTTATTTATTTATTTATTTATTTTTATCAGTACCAGGGATCAAACTCAAAACGGTGCCCTTGCAAGGCGGGCACTTATGCCCTGAGCTAAATCCCCAGCCCCCTTTTTGGTGTTTTTGAGACAGGGTCTCGCTATGTGGTGCAGGCTGGCCTTGGGCTATTGTAGCCCAGGCGGGTCTGAAACCTGCAATGATCCTTCTGTCTCAGTCTCTGGAGTGCTGGGATTACAGGCGCCACTATGCTCAGCTTTTTTTTTATTTTTTATTTTCTTTTGAGACAGGGTCTCACTATTTAATCCAGGATGTTCTTTAACTTGTAGTGCAGCCCAAAATGTCCTTAAACTTGCAGGCTTCTGCCTCAGCCTCAGAGTGGTAGGAGTACAGACAGAATCTTCCTGTCGCCAGTCCCTTTTTTGTTGTTTTGGGATGAGCTTGCTAAATTACCCAGTCTGGGGCTGGGGATATAGCTCAGTGGCACAGTGCCTGCCTGCAAGCATGGGGTCATGAGTTCGATTTCCAGTACCCCCCAGATTTACCAGTCTGATTTAAACTCGGGATCCTCTGGCCTTAGCCTCCTGAGTTGTTGGATTGTAGGTATGTGTCACTGCACCTGACAATGTGAATATTTTTTGTAGCTTAGAAATTGTTACTCATATTAAACCATAATATGCTAATTCTTTATTTTTGATTATTCTTGCTTGGTCTGCTGAACTTGGACCTGTATTTATGCATATTGACTAAACTAGTTTTGTGTTGTAGGACTTTTAATAGTTGAGACTGTCGCTATTCTTGATGTGCTAGAAGTTATTGTTTAGGAGCTGGGGATTTAGCTCAGCGGCATAAGCGCCTGCCTTGCAAGCAGGCAGTCGTGAGTTCGATCCTCCGTACCGATAAAAACGAAAAAGACAAAAAAAAAAGTTATTGTTTGCATTGTGGAAGGAAATTTATGATATAAATGACAAGTGTTCAGAGATGGAGAGAGGCTGTTAATCTGGTTACTTTTGTTGAACAGCTGTATTTACTTGTAAAAGAAAAGAAAATGGTAAAAATGATAACTAATTTTTTTTTTTTTATTTTTTTGAGACAAGGTCTCACTATGTGGTACAGGCTGGCCTTGAATTCAGTATGTTGCTTAGGCTATCCTTGAACTCACAGTGATCCTTTTGCCTCAGTCTACTGAGTACTGGGATTATAGGTATGTAATCACCCAATAACTAAATTTTTTTTTTTTTTGTACCAGGGATTGAACTCATGACCTCACACTTACCAGGCAGGCTTATGCCGCTGAGCTAAATCCCCAGCCCAGATAACTAATGTTTTTAAGTGTTCCTGCTGACACTATTCCTAGTGCTTTACACTTATTGTCTTTTTGAGTTATCACAGTAACTGTGAGGGAGGCAGATTATTATCTTTATTTTACAGATTAAATACTGAGGCCTAAAGCTTAAGCAATTTCCCTTAAGTTTAGTTGCAGAGCTGGTAGGTCAGAAAACCAAGATTGCAGGACAGGACAGCTCCACAGCTGTTTTCTGTGGGGCAGTCTGCTGGCCCACAAAGGTGGCTTTGCGTGTGCAGTAAAAGTCTCTTCTCAGTTCCTCAGATGGTTCAGAGCAGTTCCCCCTACAAACAGAATTCCAGCATTTTAAACTTGGTCACAATGAGCTTATTACAGTTTTTTTTTTTTTTTTTTTTTTGCTTATTACAGTTTTAAGAGCAGGTACTGTTTATAATATCAGCAAGATGGGAATG